TTGCAACAAAATGCAACTGCTATGAACTGCTGGACGCATCTGAAGTCTATCGAGCCTTGTAAGCATATCCAGCTTCTCCACGGAATCTTGACGAGAAAAGGCCCAGCTTCGGTTCCTCTTCGCGTCAAGCAGCGGAATGACGCAAAACGGGTGTTCAGCGGATGGAATGTTAGATGCTCCTGCGCAAACCGAAGTGCTGAACAGCATGCTCCATCCTGGCACATGAAGACGCGACGATGCCAAGCTCAATGGCCCAAGCGCCAGCTCTTTGCAAAGAATTCTCACTCCCTGAATGCCTGCACGCCCCTCGCTCCGTATCGTCAAGCATGACAGCACGACTGGCTTGTTGCTCCGCTGACAAATCGCACTACGAACCTGCAGCCACAGCTGTGGAAGATTTTAGGAGCCTGCATCGTGCCTGCGCCTAATTCGTCGCCTAAGTCCGCCACGGCGTGCCGCCGGACCAGAGCGTGAGCTCCAAGTGGCCATGCGTGCAGCCCGACCTGGAGCTGCTAAGGGAGCGGCGGAGCTCGCTCTCCCTTCGACTCCCTTCGCTCGCTCCTCTCTACCCCCTCTCTCCGCAGAAGGCCAATCCGCCAACGTCAATGCATAGATAGAGCTGAAAGCCTGATGGTTGCCTTCATCTCGGATTGACGTTTCCATCGGCGACACATTGCACATTGCAGCCCCCAAACCCCTGTACGAGTATCCTGGGCTCGGAAAGAGAGATTCTGCAACTGAGTGCACTACTCTCCGAAGCGCCTTAGCTACAGCTCGAGAGACTCTCCCCTGCCAACCTCGACAGCTCATCTCAGCCTCCCGCGATGGAAAGTTGTAGCCGCTCGCAACCTGGCTTGCTCATCGAAACACTGTTTCGTATAGTTGAGACGTGCTGCCAAGAAGCTGAGAAAGGCAGGGCAATGGCCATTTTCACCAGGGAGCCACCTCAGGGCTGGCTGAAAAGGCCCAAGCAGAGGCAGAGCTCCGAAGCTCCGCTCCGCTCACCGAGACCTTCCCTGAGGTCCGTGCCGATATCCACGCCCATGTGTCCGGGGGATTGCCGTATCCTCTGAAGAACTTCGAGGACAGATGGGCCTGGACACCGCTCGGCGGCTCGGCATGGGACACGGCGAGGTAATGGCAGCAGAGGTTCTGGCACACACCCATGCTGTCCTCCATCTGCTGGCCTTTGACCTAGCAATCGATTTGCCGTGCCCTCCCTTCCTCCCTTCCCCTCTCAAGGTCGCACAGTCGAACGGCGTCCAAGTAAGCCACTGCTGTCGGTGGCTCTTGTCGGGATGGCACATGCTTTGCAGCAGAAGTTGTTGCTGCGACACCTTCGCAAGACAAGTGTCTACGCGGCTCTGCTAGGCAGGAGTGAGAGCAGAGCGCATGTGCATGCAGGGGGCCATGGCCTGCATCATAAGCGGCCAGGAGTGCCAACAAAAAGCTGCCCTGAGAGCCTGCCGGGAGCTGAGCGCTCTCGAGACCCGCTTGACGTGACTAGCGAAAGCCCCTTCGCAAGAACTTTTCGCATGCTCGCCGCATGTCTCGCGCAGAAATCTAGCAACTTCCTGGTGCCCACTTTCCGTCGCAAAGTCTGCGGGAGTGAGGCCATTATCTGCAGTCTGGTCTAAGCCTGCCCTGGCCATGCAAAGCAGATGAACCAGCTCCAGGTGGCCTGCACCCGCAGCCATGCATACCGGTGTCAGGCCATTGCACATCGCTCGATTTGGATCAGCGGCCCTGTCGCATAAGCATCTTGCGACATTCAAATGACCTTCCCGGCAAGCCAGCAGTAGAGGAGTGACCCCACCCGTCATAAGCACATCCTTCTCTGCGCCCATGACGAGCAAAAAGTCAACCAGGTCGACCTGGTTTTGATGTGAAGCTAGACACAACGGTGTGGCGCCATCATGCCGAGGCTGATCAATGTCGCAGGTGGCTTGCAACAAGCAGCTTGCAATGCCCAGGTGACCAGACTGTGCTGCAAAACAGAGTGGCGTCATTCCGTCTCTGTCGTAAACGTCAACATTTGCACCATGCTGGCAGAGTATCTCGACAGTGTCCAAGTCACCTACGCTTGCTGCTAGGAGGAGTTGAGTGTCGAGGCTTTGACAGCTTTGCTGGCTGCGGCGTCTTGCACCGGCTGCAACCAGAGCAAAAGCAACTTGTAAATGCCCGCGCTGCTCAGCTACGTCCAAAGGGCTCTGTTGCGACCCATAGTCTGGATCGCACTTTGCCTCGCACAAGCATTGAACCACCTCCGCGTGGCCTGCCTGCGCTGCTAGAAGAAGGGGAGTTTTCCCGTCAGAACATGCCAACATATCTGCACGGCACTCGCAAAGCTGCCGTACAACGCTCGTGCGACCAAGATGAGCGGCAATGGCCAGTGGTGTGACACCAGTCTGCATGGCCAGATTCAGATCAGCCTGCGCGTCGACTAACGCCTGGACCGTGGCTAGATGACCCTCTCGGCAAGCCAGCAACAGGGGGGTGACACCTTGCCCGGCCGTGGCATCAACGGAAGCACCAAAATCACATAGGCATCCAACGATGTCTGCGTGCCCCTGAGCAGCTGCTACACTCAATGCCGTGGCACCGTCGACCCGCAAACTGTCCACTCGTGCTTTGTGGCTGCACAGATGGCGCAGTACTTCTATGTGCCCTTCCTGCGCCGCGTGCATGACTGGTGTAGCTCCGTTAGAGTTTCTCGTTTCCGTATCTGCACTGAATTCACAGAGCAGCTGCACGACCTCCACATGACCCTTTCCGGCAGCGAAAAGCAGTGGCGTGGAGCCATCTGGCATCTCCGTTTCAAGATCGGCCCGAGCATCGTGGAGAAAACGCACAACTGAGGCGTTGCCTGTACAGGAAGCCAGCAGAAGCGGCGTCATGCCTTCGTCATCTCGGAAGTCTAAATCTGCGCCGTTTCGCAAGCAGTTCTTCACAGTGTCCACACTACCATCAGACACGGCCGCCATCAATGCTGGAGACAATCTTGCATCTGCCTGCTGCACCAGCATCGTCAACTCACATGGGTTCGGGTAGCTCTCGAGCTTGGCATCATCATCCAGGCTCGCTTGGCCCAGAACCAGTTCTTGCTGAAACGGCCGTATACCTGTCCTTGCATGCACTTCTTGCTTGACTGATAGAATTGTGGACGTCGGTTCCAAATGCACGGATGCAGCCGCACATCCCGACAGAGTCGTCACCAGAACACAGTGGTCTGATGACATCGCAGCACTACTTTCTACGACTGTGATGCCCAGTAAAGGCTGTCAATGCTTCGGCCACAGGCACTCGGTCACTTGCACAGACCACATATTGCCACATCTGCAACAGAGCCATTGCCTGCTGCTACGCTGTCGCTGGGACAGAAGATGCCACGAGCGGCGGCCTGGAACAGACACTGCCGGCGGCGGCCTTGCGGCCTGGGGGCCTTGCCATGGCTGTGTTCACAGCTCTGAGGCCGCGTCCAGCTGCTGAAGTTCCGCAAGGTCCTGCTGCACAGCCCCGTAAAGCTCCGACTCGCCGAAGCCGGCAGCACCCACATCTTTATGCCTGTCGAGTATGCTATTCCACTGATTGGAGCTCTCTTGAAGACCTCATCCCCGAATTTCTGAATTAAACACTTGAAAAACCCCTGAAGCCTTTGTTACTTTAGCTGCCAAACCCCTCCGTGGTTGGTAGACGGGCGCCTGAGCGCAAGATTGTTACTGTGTGGCGCAGCTGAGTACAGCTCACGTTGCAGTCGAGTCTGGATCGAAATCCGATGCAACTACGGATATTCCCGATGTGGGGTTCACAGATTCCTATTCCTGCCAAACCGCCGCCATCCGCCTCCTGTTAGAACTCATCATGTGGGGCTCGGCGTGGGGATCTCCAGCAATCTTGAAGTGTCCTTGTCCTTGTAGGCGGACGTGTCAGCCTGCTGCATGAGCTACACAGGCTATAAACAAATCGAACAAAAACTCCACGGCATAGCACAGGCCTCAGTCTCGGCCACCTTCTCTGACTGGTCACTTGCGCGCTGTCCCATCCAAACTCGCAGCACACGGCTACACGGGCAGCCGCCAGTGCTCTCCCTCTCGTCAGCTGCGATTTCATCTTGCACCCAAGTTCCTGATAAAACTATCCTGCTTCGATTCGCATCCGCCACAGGCACCCCAAAATCTCGCTGCGGAGTAGGCCAGAGAATGCGTTGGAGTTTAGCGCTTGGGCAAGTCAGCATCGGACCAGGATCCTGCTGGAAGATATTATGTTTTTCCGACTTGGCTGACCATGTTCGGACGAGACTTTCGAAGCTTACCCAGTTCACTCGCCAGACAGAATGCCCTTGGCCTGCACAGCGGAGCGGAGAGACGGGCTGCAGTGGGGTCAAACAGAAAGGGGCAGAAATCCTCACCAACACGGAGCTTGGCTGCCTTGCCGAGGGCTTCCATTTCTTCTGACCTTGCTGTCTGGCGAACCTGGGCATGTGCACTGACATACTTGCTGCCAGCGCATCTCTCTTGGCAGCCCCAGAGTCACTGCTTCCGATAGGTCTGCGTGCTGCGTGCCTCGAAGTTGGAAATGAAGAAATCGCACTCTTTGTGGAGGTTTGCTTTGCTCTCGGACCTCGGCGCCGAGCAGGAGACCACCGCAAAATACCGCAAAGATCACGTCTCTAAGACCGGTGCAACTCCTCAAGCTCTTCCATGGCAGATTCCTTCGTAGCTTCTTCCTTCACAGTTTCTAAGGATACTGCTGCAGGTCGAGCAGGCAGCACTGGCTTTAGCACACCCTCCGACTTGTTTTTTGTCTTCACCCCGCGACAGACGAAAATGGAGCGCCTGAATAGACGCGATGCAGCGGGAAGCATTTGCGTGTACTGAATTCATATCAATGCGGTAACAGAATATCAAGGCTTAGACGAGTTGCAGTACTTCGTCCATGCAGGCAGCTCCGGCAAGCGCACTTCTCCCCAAGCGCATTAAACAGTCAGCAGGCATGCTTCGTCAGTAGAAGCGTTGATGCGCGTCAGAGGAAACTTCCAGAGGCTTGTCCGATACCTTCTCTCGAAGGAGGTGGAGTACATCATCAATCTCCCTTGACAGCTCCTGCGAGACAGGACTCCATTCCTCAGCACAAGCAGTCCGGGTTTAGGTCCAGCTCGTCTTCGCTGCTGCAATGTCCAGCTGCAGCCTGGCATAGAGTTCAGGGTGCAGCCGGTGCAGCAGCATGTGCTCGCGATTGCCTTGAGCCAGGGAGACGATGCTTCACCGGCCTCGGCTGGAAGCAACGGAGTGCACAGCTCAATGCGGGAGCACCCTGACTATCTGGAAGAGGAGGAGGGGTGTCAGTGTTGGAGCATGTTGGAGGCGGCAATCTTGAGAGAGACCAGCTCGGGATGTGGGAACGGCGAGCCGCAACTGGTTCCCGTACCCGTCTGGGGGTCTCCACCTGCTTCACGGGCTTGAGCGCCGACTCGACTTTGGAGCCTCGCCAGGCCCATAAGGCAACTTCAACTTGTCTCTCTCAAGTCACCCTTCCTAGAACACTCCCTTCTCGGCCCCCGACCCTCCAACCTTCCAGCCCTCCAGCACCCCTGTTTCTGTAGTGGTGGGGGGACTGGACATAGCAAGAGGAACAGCTCCTTGAATGATTTGAAGTTCTGCAGTAACTAGAGGGTACATCTCGTTCTACTGGGGCATCATGCGATGATGCAGCTTCCAGAGCATTCTACAATTCTACTCGGCCTGCACGCGAAACCGAAAGTAGTTCTGTTTTCTGACAAAAGAAACGTCTTGGTGGAAGCAGTGGATTCGAGGAAGTCCTTCGCATGTTTGGCATGCCCCTGATACGTACAGTTGACTAACAATGTGAGGGAAGATGTGCGATAACTTCGGGATGTTCAAGAATTTGCTGTCCGCCGGGTTGAAACGAGCCGTGACGCATCTGTGGTGCTGCCGCCGGCTCTGACAGTGACCCGGTCTACTCGCAGTGCATGCATTCTGTTCTCGAGCTTCATGCTTGCCATTCCTTCGCCACAGTCCTAAGCCCAAGCCCCTGGCTTGGGAACCGCACAAGCACTGAATCCTTTATAGCGGAGAGCTCTGGAGGTGTTGACGCCCGTGGCCCGTGTGTTGGTAGATGTGCTTGTCTTGGAGCAGTTCTGTCAGTCGGGGGCTTTGTCTCCTGCAAGCCACCAGGGCCACGGATCCCATCCCAAGGCCTTTCTGAACTCGGTGTTCTATCGCTACGAGTTCTCGTTGCAGGCGTCTGAGCTCCTCATGGCTGTCACACGCATGTCCTGCCGTGGCCTAAACCTCAAATCTGTAGATGTCCTCTGCTATGGCCACCGGTTGACTTCTGGCCTCCGTTTCGTGCGTTAAGACGAAAAACGCTTGGGTTCTCTGACAGGCAGATGCACCTTCTCAGTTGCCCAGGCTGAAGGGCTGGATTCGAGGGAGTCAATCACATCAAACATGTTTGCTGCCTTGGCGTGGGCACGCGGACGTGCTGGTGAGTCGCGGACTGCAACCTATGGCGCGGCACGTAGTAGCTGTCCAGGTGCAACGGTGCCCAACTCAGACCAGTCGGGCCTCACGGGCACTGTGCCGCTTCTCCACAGAGCCACTTCCCACGCAAAGCAAGGCTGCCACCCGGATCAGAGCTGCAGCCCGGGTCCTGCCTCTGCCTGGCCAAGGGAAAAATGTCCGCCAACAACGCGAACAGCAGCCGTCTCATCGTCCTAGCCTGGTGCACGGCAGCGGTGAGCCAAGCCTCAAAGCTCCGTCGCTCTCCTCGGAGCAACGAAGCTGGCTGGGGCTCTCCAGCCGTTCCGGCTCCCGGCTCCTGAGGCTCTAGGCCAGTAGCACAGTACAGACAGATGCGCTCAGTGCACGGCTGCCCATGTTCCCGAAGATTCACTCCTACGTTGCAGGTCCGCTCGGCTGATGGCTGGACTGGCAAGCAATGCCTGGCATTGAAGGCCAGGAAGCAACACAGGATTGAGAAGGTCGAAGAAATCGCGGCAAAACAACACAACAACTCTGCGAGTAATTACAACGATACGGTGATACATGGACACAGATTTGTACGAGACTATACGAGTATGCACACTTGCTCCTGGATACCTGCGGCGCCAGCGGCGCTGTGAACAGCTGCAACGCATGCAATTCGTGCGCAGGGGGGCAATCCAAACTGGGACTCTGGGCCCATGAATTCTTTGTAGGCGCCCCATCCCTGCCTGGGGGCGCGACGAGCTAGTACTTGCAGAGTTGTCGTTGGGATCGCTGGCCTTCGCACACGACATTGAGCATTCAGAGCATGATTCGGGTCCCAAGATCTTAAGAGGTTACAATATCAATAGCTTGCGTCTGTTCACCGCATGCGCGGCAAGGCTCTCCCGGATTTACGTGCAGATTCGTTGCAGCTGTTCTTACATGGCCTTCCCACAAAACAAAGCGAGCTGCCTCGAGCTTGCAGCGATCCCTGTGTCTCCATCTACGCGGCGCTCCCAGCCGGAGCCTTTGCCGAGTCTGACATGCTGCAATCTGCCGGGCATGCACAGCGCCGACAAGAGGCACAACGGCACCTCGGGTGCTCCATTTGTCAATTTATGTCAATTTCATACGGAGGTAGGGTGGAGGCGGTACGAATTCGTCTCAAGGTTCAGGTCTTCGCAGATTCAGGTTCGGCGCTCCCGTCGCTTCTTTAAACGTGGGGGCTCCGAGGACCCGGCCGCTGTGGGCTTGGATGGCTGAGCCGTGGGCTCACCTCCGAGCCGAGATCGCTTGGCGCTCACCGAGAGCTGAAAGATCGTGTGCCGAGGCCTCGATCGGTGGCGAAGCCTCCGGCTCCTCCGGCTCCCGACTCTGAAGCCTCCACACGTCCACACGTCCAAGTCTCCCCGCTTCTGTGTGTTGTGTCACGTGGTGCCTGCCTCGGTGAACTTGCACCGATCTCTGTAGGGCTGTGTGTAGCGCTTGGCGGTGTCTGCACAGCAGCATCTGCCATGAAAGCTGGATGCCTGTCGCGTATACAACGGGAGCTTGGGGCAGTTGGGGTTAAGAAGGAGGTGAAAGGGCCTCGGGCCCTTTTGGGGATCTTGGCTTTATCTAGATCTAGAATTGTTCACTTTTGAGCATCTTGTTTTCAGAAGGCCTCGCTCGTTCGGGTGTCCACTGCCGCTTCGGCAAAGGCCCACTCGCGCTTGGCACCGCATCGCAGTGAGACTCCTCCCAAAGCGCATCACCATGCACAGACACGGCACCCCGCAGCTGAAACACGGAGACAGCTTTTGCCGGCCTCTTGGATGGAGAGATAGCGCTGAAGCACCGAAAGCTGAGGGGGCTTCAAAGAAAACACCTTGAGGGTTTTCGCCGGCCGGGTGGAGAGCTCAGCCTTGGCTCGCAAGGGGACGAGATGCGACAAGTCAGCATCCCTCCAAGCCCTGCAACAGAAACATGCTTCAGTGAAGCGGCTGCTGCCAGGCAACATCTATGTGCTGGGGCTCCGCATCTTGAAGAGCATTGCAACGACTTGAGTCAGACTCTTGGAGCGCGGTGCGAGGGTCCTAGACTAGTCGCCAGCTCTGCGAGCACGTAGGCATGAACCTCAGGAACTCTGTGGAGCTGCGCCTGAGTCCTCCTTGGCTGGGAGGGCTGCTGAACCTGGGGCCGTGCACAGCTTTTGGAGTTGGTGAATCTTGGTGAGGTGAGATCCCCTTGGACAGCCGACGGTGTCGCTTTGCTTGGAGTCGTCGGCTCCCGCCCGCGGGCCTCGCGAGATTTCACGACGAGGCCAAGGATCGGGCATCGAGTCGCCGTCGGGCCTTGGCCTTGTCCGGCAGGCGACTGGCCACGGTGTTGTCACAGGCACTTCAAGGCACTTCATGGCACATGGCTCTTTCGCGAGCCTGGCATGTCTTCAGCAAGCGGAGTGAGCGGGCAACACCTGAGCTCTTTCCGATGACTCAGTATGGCCTGCGACCCTGCAGGCAAGTGACGCCCAACGAGCTCGGCTTCCTTCTTCCTGGAACGATCTCGCTCTTGTTCCATGTCCTGCAATAATGCGGCTGGAGCGTGACATCGCGGAGACTGCAATCCACGAAGCCTGCATTTTGCTCGCCTGTTGACCCAGCATCTGCTGAAGTTCCTCCTACAAAAGACCAGTCCAGTGCCAAGTCTTGGTTCATCCAGTACACGTTCTCGAATTACCCCAGCCTTGTCCTTTCGCTCCTGTGCCAGCACCTTGACTTCGCGCAGCGATAAACAGAACAGACCCACTGTCGAGGCTGCCAGCCGCCAGCCTTGATGAGGTTTCCAATTCGCAGCTTATCCTGTTGTCACGCTGTTCAGCTCGCAGAGAGGACAGAGCTCGGAGAGCCGGAGCTACTACGACGGAGCCTCGGCAGAAAGTGTTCGAAGGCCGCTGCCGGGCCTCCCCACTGTCACAGCATTCTCCGAAATGCACGGAATGTGTCCCATGCCGGCTGGGTGCTCTTTCTGTGCGGCGACCGGCTCGACGGGCTCCGAAGGCTGCGACATCTCCGCGTCAGCACACTTTTCTGGTCCATGTCGTGACCTGAAAAAACGCGAGGCATTTTTTGCGTCAAGACAGTGCCGTCGCTGCGGCCGGGACGCCGCCCAGCTGCCGGCTACGCCAGGAGGCCGCCCCTCAGGCTCGCCGCCCCTCTCTCCTGCTCTGTCTTCTGCTGCCTTCTGTCTTCGCTTAGATACGCTACTGATCTGTACTGTTCGGGTGCTCGGAAACAGGATCTACATGCCAAGTGGCTGTTTGCGAACCAAGGATGCATGTAACGTGGCGAGCAAAGCCGGTTTCCGCAAAGCTGGGACGGGATTAACTTTTTCGAAGTAGCTCCTAGTCTACTAGAACACGCGTCCAATGACTAAGTTTTAAATCAGAAGTTGTTGCACATCGCTGCATCTTCCTGATTGGAAAAGTGGAAGGCTCCGAGTGCAAACTTGAAGCGGCCGCAAGCACTTAATGCGTGCAGCACTTCGGAGGCTGTCCTTGGCCTGCGCTGGTGGGACCAGATCCACACATTGACCCTGTCATTGCCAATATGCAGATCCGTGCAGATGCAAGATTCTCCTGCTCCAAGGCAGCACAGTTGGCTGCCGGAGAAATTCTTGCAAAGACTTTGGTCCATTGATTTTGCTGGCCCGTCGAGTGCTGGTGTGATTGGAAACCTCATGTGGAAAGTACAGGAGCACAGGTCCCAGGATCAGCCCCTCTTCCTATACGTGCAAGAGGCATCAGAAAATTGAAACGGGCATGCGGCATGCTCCCAACTCCCAGCGAGAACTGAGGGTGGCTCGATGTGAAGTTGATATATGTTGCAAACGTGTGCGATCTCTCTGGGCAGGGGAACAATCACGACCATAGTCTCTGTACAAACCGCCTACCTTTCGCATCCACGTCCAGCGAAACCGGATGCAAAGGGTGGCGCAGGAGTCACAACTGGAATTAGAAGGGAAAAAACCATGGGCAGCACGCCCAAAGAGGCTTCGATGTCGGCCAAAGCTCTGAAGGCTAGCGTTAAGAGTGCCAGGGGGCCTAAGCCCGGGAGGGCACCTCAAAGGGTGGCTCATGACGCCTGTGATCCTCGAGATCTCGCCGTCGCTTGGCCTCTGCCTCGAACCAAGACGAGCCCAAGGGCCCCAGCCCCAAAGCTAGGCCGCTAGGCTCGACACTTGACTCATGCCCCAATGGCCTCCGGTTTGATTTGTTCCTGCCATGCAAGCGACACGCAGATCTGCACGATACATGCGAAACCCGAACCCCCGGGGTGCCTGATGCAACTCGTAGAGATTGGCATGCGAGAATTTCACAACCTCTGACCTGAATTGATTCTCCAGATCGCATGCGAAAAAGCGCGACTGAGGAGTCTCACACTGAGCAGCGCACGTCTGCATTGTGGCTTGGGTTTTGGAGTTGGAGTCAGGTTCGGGCGAGGAGGATTCGGATCCCTCCCCCACGGACTTCTGCCGCTCCTCCGAAGTGTGCACGGGTAAAAATCGTCAATCTCTGCAAGTTCCTACAAGTTCCCGCGCATCTCCTTCTCTGCCTCCTTCAAATCATTGGGACACCAGTATAGACTTCGTGCAGTCACACCCACAGACTCCAAAATGCCCCTGAAGCGATGAGCACCTGCAAATTGCTCTGCTTCAGCCTGTACAACGTACTCGCATCAGCTGAGATGTCTGAGTGCTGCACAGTTTATCCAGTAGTTCATGTCTTCATACATCCTTCAAGGTAAACGGCATGTCATTCTTGGAAACTTGCGAAGACCACGGCAGTGTCCCTAGCGCCTGTCAGGATCGAAGCTCTCGCGGACATGGACAAAGTCTTTCAGCCCGTTGAATTCGGAGGTCTCTTGCTCTGAGATGAGCAGAAGTCGTGCCTGAGCACAGCCGCAAGCAGTACGAGGGCCGTTCAAAGATCTCGCAGGCATGAAACATCTGAAGGAACTTTCCATCTTCTTCATAGCATTTTTTCAGATTGTGGCTCCACTTTAGCAACTTTACCGTCACAAGCTGAAGCTGTGGCGGGGCCACGCTGTGCATCGAACTAACGGAACAGCGGTTCCGGTCCAATCTGAAATGCCTGCAACCCCAAGCTAGTTCGCGGTATCGAACCTGACCCGTGCGATTGAAAGAGAGACATAGAGTGGATAACAGAATGAGATCTGGCAGCAACCGGTATCAGTGCAGACCAACTGCCTTCAAACCCGGATATCTTTCTTGCATTCGCGACCTTGCTTTGCAGACTGTGCTGCTCAAACGGGATCTCTGCGAAGAAAGGAACATGACACCCAATTCAGCTTGAATCGAGCAGAGCTTTTCTGTTCTGGGTGATGATTGAGGCCGGCACTGCAAGTTACATACTTCCCCACGCGAGGCAACTCCAGTCCGAACAAAGAGGACGTGATCAGCATTCTTGCAGGCCCAGTCGAAACGAGCAGCTCTCCCAGTGTATCGTTTCCTTGTTTCGCTGGCACTATCAAAACACGGCTCGGTTCCGAGTAAGTCTCAGTAGCACTGCATCCAAGGCTCCGCATCCGTTCTACAATGGGTGCGAAGTTTCCAATCGGATCCTCTCCGTTCTCGTACTCCACTTCGTGAGCAAAGGACAAGCCACTCCACTTGCGATGGAAGATACGACCAAGCTCACCGTCATAGCACAGAAGGTCTGGATTCCACATATCTTCAAAGCCAGTGGCCACCATGTCCACAACATCACCGAGGCTGGTGGTTCCTCAGACATTTCGACCCTGCTTCCGCAATCTTTCACAACTGGTGGAGCCAGGAGACTCGTGAGATCAAAGGGATAGCAAGGACCGTCGAACTCGATTTTGTGCAAGAGCATGCCTCATACGAAACTCAGCATTGGTACGGCAGTCAGTGACATCTCTCAAAACGAGCAGCGTGTGGAGCAGCGGTCGCCGAGAGGAAGCACCTTTGCTGGCCGCATGCAGTCATGGCAACTGCTTCTCCCAAGGTGACGAAAGTCGACGCCTCTCGAAACACGAACATGCCTCTCGAGAACTGAAGCCTGACAGAATCTTAGAGGTCGCGGCTGTCGACATTTCACAGGCTGGTCGGCAGATCTTGTGCTTAAGCTTACGACGAAGCGTGATTCGATGTCCTTTCTGCCCAGGATGATGCCTCTGAGAATGCCATCCGCATCGTTACAGGACTCGACGACTCCACTTGTTTCACTGATTCTGGCTATCATGCACAACATGGCATGCCAGAGTTCCATACCATGCAGAGATTCACCACCGTTCGTTCAGTTCTCGGGATACGACTGTGCTGCTGATACGTCCGACAGATCTCCACCATCAAAACATGGAAACCGACATGAGCGTGTCTCGCTAGGTGGCGTTGTGGACGAAATCGGATTTGCCGAGGCCGGAGGAATCCAGGTAAACATCAGTATGCACACTAGAGTCACAAGAGATATCTAGTGCAATTTAATAGGCCGAAGCCGCCGAAGCCAGATGAGCTAAGCATCCCAATCAGAGCCCCAAGACAGATATGTACCGCTAAGCTGAGACTGCATTGGCCGGGTGGGTCCACCGTTCAAGAGGCGAGAGCAATCAGGGAGATCAGAACATTGTTGACTACTTCGGATCTCCAAGTACTCCCCTCGTAGTCACTAGTTGTCCGTGCGTACTCTAGCAGCTACGCACACCCGCCCCCACCCCGACCCCCCCGCCCCCGCTCCAACACTGCAACAGCAACTGCGGCAACCGCGGCAGCAACAACAACAACAACAACAACCGCTTGAGAGCTGCGGGCTGGGACGAAAGCTCGATAGCGGACAGGGCTGCTGAAAGACGACTCGGAGAGACCGAAAAACATGCATGCATATCACAGACAGGCGGACGGACAGACAGACAGACAGAGGCAGACCAACGGACCGACAGACCGACCGACAGTACACACGTATAGGATAAGAATGGGTAAGGAGTGATGTCTTGCTGCTGGTCCTTCTTTGCTGTGTGGGGAGCAAAACAGCAAAAACACACACGCACACACACACACAACAGCAATGAAAACACCAACAGCAAGAAAAAAGCCGTCCCATATGTATACGCACATGCATACATACAGACATAATACATACAGACATGCATGCATACAGGAACATACACACATACAGACATGTATACAGACACATACATATACACACTCCTACAGACATATAGAACATCATGGAACTATACATATACATGTGCATATGCACACGAGTGCAAGTCCGGCCACAACAATCCACACATCAATGCTGACCTTGAAGCAGCAGAACCCCTGCTGCCAGCAAAAGGAATCAGAAGAAACTACTGTCCACTACCCGACCCTGCCCCTGCCCGACCCCCCCAAAAAAAAAAGAAAACACCCTTGTACTTATACTTACACCATTACCCCGCAACTCCCCCCCCCCACCCGGAGGGCTGGAAGAGCTGGAACCCGCCTGCTGCCTTTGACAGATTCTTAAAACACCATGGCGCGAGTAGTTTGACTTGTCTTGGCGAGGCTCAGCTACCTGCTCGATGGACTTTAGATCCCCAACGCGTCGCAGTTCCACTGCGGATCTCGCTGGCACCTTGACCCGTGACTGTAGGCCATGGCAAGAGATAATCGCAGTCCGAAACGCCTGTCCTCGCAGGCAGCGTCCATGTTGGAAATGCAACAGCAGGTCAGCGTTGCTACATCTGGGCACTAGCACAGGCGGTCCTGAAAGGTCCTCATAAACTCCATGATCCATCTTCTTTGTCGCTTGGCGAACATCATACCACATCGGATGCACATTGTACTCGCCTAGGCATACATAAGGGGACAATCAGAGCACACATCACACCGTTAGCATGCGGCACCGCTAGACGCTAGACCCTAGACCGGACCGAGAGCCCAAATCAATCAAGTCTCACGCCGCCTGGTTGAAGAGCTGCAGGCGTCCGGATTCTGTCTTCACAGCTTGGAGGTTATCATCACAAAACAGGACTTGGCTGGTCGTTGGCAGGCCCTCGAGATTCCGCCCGATGTGCCGCAGCCTTGCCTTCGGGAGTGGAGCGACGAACGCTTCTTCGCATCTCTTCTCTTCATTCTAGATTTCAGGCAGGACACCACACTGCGGGGAGGCACCTGACCCACGGACCGAAGCATGCCAGAATCTCCTGTCGCATGCATGCCTCAAGCCGAGCCATCCGATAACGACAGAACAGCAGACGCGATTCAGCACAGACACCGGTAGTTCGTCAATTTTGCGCAACCCGGTCCGAGGTAGACAGAGAAGAGGCTTTTCTCATCATCGCCATGCCTCAAGTAGAGACCTCGCCGAAGCGACCACGGAGCTTCCCTGCACGGCAATGACGACTTTAAATCTCTGCAAACACGGCCAGAGCACACAGCCAGTCTTGACAGCTTCAGCCATGAGAAAACCGCGCCTGAAGGCTGTACATAAGCTTGCTTGCAAGTCTCCCCAACCTGGATTCAACTCGTACCTGAAAAAAAGCAGCTGTTGTTTGCACACCGGTAGAAATTCAAGGTTGGCGCTCTCGGCAGATTGAACTCAGAACAGAACGTCTCGGGGGTTTGCTGCAGTGTGGGCAACTTAAACTTGCGACAAGCTGCTGGTCGTCTGTGTTGTTCTCGACCTTGGAGGCTTGCATTCTCGAGCTACTTTCGGATCCCTAAACTGCCACGGAAATTTGTGCGGCCAGCGGCCTCAATCCGAGCCTTTAAAGTCTACCAAGCAAGGACAGAACACCACACGAACGCATCACCGCGACGTGAGCTTTTTATAGGATTCGCTTAGGCCTTGAAGGGTTCAAACCTGAGCATTGCGGCCTCGGAGTTTGGGGTCTAGGTTTTTGGGTTTAGAGTTCAGGGTTAGGCAGTTGCCAGAGTCGAGTGTACTGACTTGGGTGACCGCGCGGGGATTGGGCCTCAGAGTGGGCTTCAGGGCTCAAGGGATTCGAAGATTGTAGGTTCAGGGCCGTTCAGCCAGTCTCGAAGCGAGGCCTGGCAAAAACAACGACATCCCAAGGATGGTAGAAAGCTACTTCTCCCCACCCAACTGCAGGGCGAATATGAAAGAAAGCAGGTTCTTGAACCCTACTTCTGAGACGGCCAGTGACACGAAGAATCCAACACCTCTGACATTGGTGTTGCCACCGCTATCGCTCATGCCACACTCCACGAGGACTAGTATCGAATGGTACTAGTACTGAGAGCTGCAGAGTACATTGTCGGCATATGGTGATTACTTCCACTGTCAATCGTGCAACAAGGACTGCTGTTCCGAAACACAGCGGCTGTGAATCTTACCGAGGCTGCAAGAAGTGTTTTGTGCTCGAAGCCTTCAACTCCCAAGATCCCCAGTCCCTTCAATGCTTTACGGCTAAGAGAGGGCGCCCCTGTCACCGTGACTGTAACACGAGCCAAGCGTCAATCAGCTCCTTTCGCTCTGCATGATAACTGATGATCAAGCCCCTCAGGGTGTGTCTGCTCGACTCGCGTCGACGAGTTTTGGGCAATGGCTATCACCCCAAGGAAACCCCACGAGGCTGACTTAAGGTCATGCCTGTGTCAAATGCTGGCCTCCTTAATTAGCACAAACAGAAGCCACAGTTACAGTTTGCAGTGCTGTATATGGCTGTTGTTCTAAATTCCTTGATCCCGGAATGAACTTCGTCGCGTGGCAAAAGCGTTCGCAACACCAATGCGGAACTTTCGCGGAGGCATGTTTACATGCCCTTGCAAGTTATAAGGCCAAGTTAACAGCCCAAAAAAAGAACTTGTCGGTTATAGTGGCCTGCTGAGCCCTTCTGAGCTGCCCTTCGGACCACGGTTAGGTGTCTCTCTGCATTGCCGGAATAATAATGCCGGAAAGTTAAGGAAGACTAAGAAAACTACGCAGTCCTCTAGGCTCGACGCCTGTCTGGCTTCAGCCTGCAGAGCTGATGCGCAGTAGCTTGGCTTGCTCCCTTGGCCCCTGCTCTTGGCAGCGACTTCTCGGCATGGTTTTCGGGGCGGTCCAGCATGGCTGCCTACTATGGCACACTATGGAACCCTGCAAGATGAAGTCAAGAGAGTTTAATCAGGACGCGGAGAAGTCGATTCGCATTTAACCGTCGTTTGTGCCAGACGATGGCACATCACTCCACGGGTGGTACTTCTGTAAGTAACAAGAACCTGCCAATATGGTACGACTAAATGCATCGGGCCTGCCATCATTGAAGCATTCTCTGGTCACATCCTTCAGATCAGCAGCGCGCTTCTGCAGAAGTTCTGTGACCTGGACACGGGTCGCGAATGCTGCCGCGGGTCGCGACGAACAACAGCTCTTGCTGCTGAAACGTGTCTCAGACGATCAGCTGGCAGACCTTCTGGGGGTCAAAGATATTGATGTCGATGGCAGAGAACATTTTATCATGGCCGGATGTGTTGGGGTGCATTGAACTGTGAGCCAAGCCCTCAGTCCAAGTCCTGCAGACAAGTAAAAGTGGCGCTCTTGGTTGCACCGATACTGAACAGCTTCAGTTCAGTACATTGGAAGAGTCCCGAACTTGTCTCCGCCCTTGGTGATTGCATGGAGCCAGTCGAGCACCGGAACACCCATGCCCTTCATTTCACCATCGGCATCTCGAAGCAGCTTCGCCTGACCGACGGGCACCGTGATTTACAAGCGTCGAGCACCAGCGCACATCAGCACATCGAGGCACATGGACGTAAATCGCGGCAAAAGCTGAGAACCGTCACGAAAAGCGCTGGGGTACTGAATCTTGCCAAAGGATTACACTGTTTGTTGTCATCAGGTTTGGGCAGCCCCTCGTCCTGCTCCATCTCGAAGCCGGAGTTCGGAGTGAGGCCAGCAAAGACAGGCATAATGCCCAGGTCCCAGGCATCTGCTGCCAGAGCTGAAAAGGCCTCATCACTTCGAGGGCAGTAAAGTATGTCAATTCAATATCTCGACATGGTGCCAAGAGCTAGACCGCCAATAAGTAGGCCTAGAATGCGGTATGCTGTGCCACGGAGGTTTGGAACGCAGGGGTTAGTCAATGATGAGAGCTCCTTTAAGGGACGAATGTTATCTGATCTCGAAAAGTATGGTCTCGTGGGCTCCGCCAGGCCGACCACAGCCCTACGAATGGCCTTCATGGTGTTGTCGTAGATTGTCTTTCTGTCCCATTCCTGGTCAGAGATGCCGACACCCCTTTGTCATCATTAATCGAACAATGCAGCAAGGTGCAGGGCAGGTTGCAAGCCATCGTAGCTCCATGCTGAATCCGAAAATTACAACCTGGCAGGTGCTTGAAAGCCATTGTGGATGCAAGTCATGCCATGTCTGCCATGTCGTGATTTCATAAAGATCGCCTGTGGGGTCGGATTGGGCAGCATGCTCAGGAGACCCTTCTTCAAAGTCTCCTGGCATGATTGTCCGCGAGACCATAAGAATGAGCCTAAGCCTACCCGGGATGGCAGCAAGGGGTGCCTGAACACACGATCCTATTTGAGCAGCATTGGAATAGCCATAGCCTCAAGGTCAATCTGCATACTGGAATGATGCGTGGCAATAGGGGGATGCCGACGCCAGCAGCGCGCTGCAGCCGAGAGGCCATACTGTTGATTCAACAGTTTGCCGAGCTGTGCTGCCCAACCATTGTACCCTTTCGCTCCGTGTCCAACGGCAGAATCATCGCCAATTACTACAAGCCTGATGCTCGAATGTGCAAAAAGCATGGCCACGCCAGCAGACGCATCCTTCTTGGTTTGGGCAAAGGGACGTTTACGGTTTGCAGGCGAGAAGCTGCATTCCATTTCCATCAGGCAGATTGAAACTGGCGCCTCGATCTTCCTTGTTTGCAAGTGCCTGTCCATCATTCTTGAGGCTGGTGTTTTCGGGGGCTCTTCTGCAGAGACCTCGCCTTGGGATAGCAAAAGGCCTCCTCCAACGCTTCGCCTCAGAGGACACGAGGCCGAGGCAGAGACACAGCCGAGGCTGGGGAAGGCTGAGGAAAGCGGAGCGGATTGAACGGACGTCGTCAACAGCAGCAACACCCCAACTTTACCCCTGCTCCGAGCTCCCGTTTGTCAGCTACGGCACCAAAGTCGCCGTCGTCCACGACAGACGAAGTCGTCAGGGCGTCCGGCGACACGCAACGATTGTGCCCATCAAACTCCTCAGTGCACGTGTGGCAAAGTCGCAGTCACCCAAGCCATTCAAGTCTGCACGCATGATGAACGCTGTGCATCCTGTCCATGGGATGCGACTACAGTCAGTGGCAAGTGACACTACATGCACATTGCTCTCAATAAGCCATAAGCCTTTTGCCTGAATGCAACACGATGTTTAACCTTAGACTCTAGACTTAGACTGTCTAGACTGCAGCCTGGACACCCAGACTGCCTCCCCGTCACCCTTAAGGCGCACCTTCATTGGTCATGTCGGGCAAGATGGCAAAGATGGCAAGCAGGTAAAAGACTGTCTCAAACTCGCTTGAAGCAAATGCAAACAAGCGTCGTATTTGTATTCTACCCCACTACTTCCGAGCTTTAGCGGAATGGACTTCCACAGCGGGTAATCCTGAGCAGCCCACCGAAAGCTCCACTAAGGTCGAAAGAGAGGCTGTCGGATATTGCTTCTGCCCAGAGACCTTTTCCGTTGTTGTGAGCTCAATGCTGCCGTCCCAGGGATTCCAGTTTCCCAGTGCATCTCCACTTCCAACAAGCCTCAGTCTGGCAAGGCTCATGCCCAGCTTCCTGCAAACGGTCATCATGATCGCTTCGTGATTGCTAATTCCAGCAGCACACAACGAACAGCGAAATTAGCAACAATCATACGGCCGTGACATTCTTCGCCGACCCAGCAACCATATGAACAAAGACAACAGCCGCAAGCTCCTGAAGAGCTAGCGCACGGAACATTCTTGACAGAACGACAGAACAGAACAGAACATCGTTCGTACTGTACATGCCGTGGGCTACTAGCTGTTCATTAAGGCGCGAAAAATCGAAAGGGCGCCGCATGAGCACAAAGGCCACGCCAAGTGGCACGATCCGGTCTCCAAAGCTCGTCTCGGCACGGACCGAGAAGGTGACCTCGCAGCCTGCTTCCAGCTCAATCGCACACAAAAAAGGGGGCCTCTGAAGATTCATGATTCGAAGACGAGGCAGAGCAAAGATCAGACGTCTTGCTCTCATTAAAAAGTGATTGGAACACTGGGGTCCAGCCTGGGCTTGGTCCGGCTGTCGCGTACCCCGCAGCTGGTCCGCGCTGATCCATGGCACACAGCGTAAGGCTTGGGCCGCGTGCAGCGGAAAGATGCGGAACGAAATACCAAGCATTTGCGGGCTGCTTGCAGCATGAGGTCAAGAATCTCCGAATCTTGAATTGCACTGCCGTCGCAACCGGCCTCTGCCTTATCATTCTTTGCGTCTGCCTGCTATCCAGGCTTGGATGTCACAATGAGGGGCAACTTGTGGCGAAGGCTTCGCCCAAGGAGAGTTTACCGCATGCCATGCTGGAGATGTGTGACCAAGGCCTTCTCCTTCGTCTTGCCGTCAACTTGTGCTGTCTTTGCCTTGCTGCACATGTCCGTGGATGCCATCGGCTGAATCAAACTCACCCGGCCTTAATATTTTCCGCGGTTTCGGCCACAAACTTCTCGTACCTGCCCAAGACCGCGAGGTTTGGGCTTCCAGGTGCATGGCAGCAGGTGGTCCCTTGCTGTCGATCAAAATGTCCCATCTCAGCACATCCACCGATTCCAGCACTCAGTATGAGACGACGATTGCGCATCTTGCTCAGCTTCAACGGCTTCGGCCTTTCGATTGCCACATGTTCGAGAACGGCAGGTCTCTGCACGCAGCGATAAGTGGAAACCTCCAGCTTTGCGGAGTCCGCGATGATGGTCTCAATCAGTCCCATAGCCTCAGACTAAGCCCGACTCAGCTTGGCCACCGGCAATAACCAACAACCAACTTCTTTTGGCTGAGGTCCAGTCGCCTGCACCCCCGGCATTCTTCTTGTAGTCCTGCGGCAACAAAAGTTCGGTCCATTGGGATGAGGGCTGATGCGTGCACTTCTTGTCCCCATGAACGAAGAGGACGACATCTCAAATGCAAAGGCTTTCTCAACACGTCAATCAAACCGCGGGAGAGATTCTAAGATGGACACACGCGGACTCGAGAGCTGTTTCAGGCGTGAACATTCCACAGAGAATATGGGTGCATATCAGCCACGCGCGTGTCATCAAAAGGCATCTGGCATGTCGGCCGAGACGAGAACCACACAAGATTCGAAGAACCTTCGAGGCTTCCCGGCTGCCACGTAAACTGTCGGGTGCGACAACCGCGGCAAACGTCTCACTGAAACTCAGTGCATCTCCACATCCTTTGCAGATTGCATGGGAAGTGTTAGTAAGGGCAAACCTTCGATGTGCAAGAAAGAAATGCAGTATATGTCGCAGCAGCCGCCCTGGGTCCTAGCATCATTCGACAGCATCGTCCCACCTTCGAGGGTGTAGTGTGAGCATCACAGCTCACATAGCTCTACTGGCGAGTCTCGGCCTTGGATTGTGCTGACGACGTTGTCTTTTGTTTCCACCAGCTGTGCCTGCTGATGATTGTTGATGTTCTCTGGGTTCGGGAGCAAGTTTCCTCGCTCGCAGGCAATGGAGTTCTGGAAGAGAACTTCATTGACATTGGTACCATATCAGTTTCAGTCGCAGGTTGTCCATGCAATGGTTGCCCATGCAATTCTACAGTGTTGCTGACGTAGACTTTCCTCCATGGCAAGACACCCGTCTGCAGCAGCCGGCGAAGTCACGCTTTTCAATTGCATGCTTTTCAATTGGACGACGACGGTACGCTCACACAAAATTGAAAATCACCTGACCTTCCAGTGACTGAGCCATGTGTGGTAAACTTCCGGACCCAGATCTATCAACGGACCAGAATGCGAGGAGTGTCGGTATGGAGGGGACTGGTTCACTCGTTGCCTCCATCTTCGGATTTGAGGAGGTATGTCGTCTCCGAGTAGCATTTGATGATTGGCGCATGCAATTTCTACGATAGCTCTTTCAGGTTTTGCCTGGGATCTTCGCTTCGACTACGTAGGATCCGTTGCTCCTCAAAGCCTTCCGGGCTGTCGAGGTCCGGTTGCACCTGCCGCGTCTGGAGTCGGCTCCAGGAAGATCCAGCACTCCAGAAATGTGTCTACGTTAGCCTCGTCAACTCTGTGAGCTCGGATCTGAGCCAGCGAAGCCCTGAGACAAGCTTGGATAGGCGCTCAAACTCGGACGCTTCAAGCGAGGCCTGACTCTCAAAGCACGGCCTCTCTGCTGAACGGTAGAAGTCGTCCAGAAACTCAGTCACAGTCGTGCTTTCCGCCTTTTCCTCCAGCTCCAGCTCAGTGCGCCTTCACCGCCTTCTTCAGGACAACCTGCGTCTGCCTCCTCAGTCTCCAGCTGGTCAAACTCTGCCGAATCTTGGTCTCCGCTCAAGCTGTGCAGGCTGTGCACTGGTCATCAGCTTCGGTTTGAAACCTGGCTGCGGGTGCATCCACACATGTCACATGTTAGTCACATGTCACAGATCAGAAACCGCTTGGGAGATCACTTCACGTTCTCTTTCCTCGGATGACTGTAACGGGCCAAGCACGGAGGAGGCGGGACCCAATGCGTCACAGGAACTGTCTGGACTGGCTGGCCAGCTGCACTTGCTTCTGCATCTCTGCGATCTGCACGTCAATTAAAGCCACGTTTGTGCGGTGTGTAGTATGTGCGTGTGTTTTTTACCTGCCCTCGTTGAACTTCCTGAGGCGTCTGGCCTCTCCGTTCAAGCTGTCGATCTGTGCTTCACAATCACTCACCCTCTTCTTCAAGGCCTCAGATGGTATCACAACCAGAAGCGACTCTTCCGATCTCTTCCGGACTTTCGGGCTCCGGCATTCACTTTGTCTTCGGCTCGGCTCTTTACACCTGGAGGTCGCAAACTGGACTCAAATGATTGCATGGCGAAGTCTTGGCTGAGGGCGCAGCCCTCCTTCTCCTCGATGTTTAGCTTGTTTTGGTTCAGGTCGTCCACACACATCTCCTTGTGCCTTTCGCATTCAGCGCATGTGTCCCTCACTCGCAGGTGGCGACTCTCAACACAGCACTGGGGCACGGGCTTAATCTCATCTTCCTGCTCCTTCTGCAAAGCTGTAACCCTTGGAGCTGTTGGAGCCAATGAAGGTCTTTCTGGTCCGTGCTTTGATGCTACCCGCGGCTGATCCTAGCATGAGATAGTTGGAACGAGTAGAGCCGAGCGTGCAGTACTTTGAGACGAGCTTTCTGATGCGGAAGGAAACGGCCGAAATACAACGATGTGTACAAATCCTTTCGCTCTGGTCAGTCACTACACACCGGCATCCGGAATCCACTGACAAATCAGTCAGCTAGTTCTGTCCACAGACAACCGCACAGCCGCACAGCGTCTTCACACGATGCAAACGGCAACAACACACCGAGTACTCGCAGTACTCAGTACTGGGTGCTAAGAGTCGAACATCTCTTCGATGGCTGCCTTGACCTTCGTGAAGGAATCTATCCTGACGACAATGCTGCCAGAAGGGGTTCAGATTCATGCGACGTGCTGCCATTGTCTGCCCTGCCTGCTCTGGAGTCCCATGGTGACCAACTTCTGAACACCCAACCTCCGTGCGGATCGCGCATCGCGGAAACTCGAACCCTTGAGCGGCGAAGTAAACCCCACCTGCGACCCTGCTCCATCAGGAAGGCCTCAGAGTAAGCGTGCGGTTGTCCACATACCACTCGCAGCGGGTTCACTCTGCGAAGTGTTGAGCTAAGCGTCACTGACTTTGCTGGCAGCTCGCTCTGCCCTCTTGGACTGTGCCGCCCTCAGAGTCGTGCAACAGGCACCATGGCAACCCGGGGAATCGTTTAAACTCTGCATCAAGTGATGAAGACACTGTGGATGCGGCTGTTGCAGGAAAGAAACTGTCTTCCCGAACAAGTCACGCGATTCCTCACCTCACCAGGCTCACGATTCCAGAGAGATCTGAGCCATCTAGTCCTCGGTTGAGGCATCTGCTGCGCAGGACCTGGCTCCGCTGGTACAGTTGCCAAGCTAGATTTGACATCAAGTGCTTGCTCTCGCATGACTTGTTCCACCTGGATGGTCTTGGACACTGCCGTCATCTCCTGCATTCGGCTCTGCATGCCTGGCGCTCTGGTGTGTGCTTCCTATCTAAGCCAGCAGTGGCAGAGCTTCCCACGTTCTTTGAATTTGTCATCGCTCCTGGCAGGAAAAGGTCAAGCCTGACAATTCTGCTCCTTGGCACAGAACAAACAAAACTGTCAATCTGTGGAGTCACGTCGTGCACCGGTTCTCCACAGCGGCTTGAAACCTCAGTTCGGTGACCCGTCATAAGCACAGCTGAAACCTCTCATCACGGCCGAGCCAGGAACTTCACATCTGCTGCAATGGCCTTCGTCGTCGCCTTGATGTCCTGCTTCGATGCTTCCTGAGGGCATGTGGGCACAGCTGCAACACTGTGGCCTATGGCACAATGAGAACGTCAAGCGCCAGTCCAGCGTGGTTTCTGCATCAGACTTCTCCTGCGCAGGCAGTCGACCCGAGGCTGTCAAGGTTCCCGGCGACAAAGAAGAACGATAGGCCGGTGCAGTAAAGGGAGTGCGCAGACGTTGGCTGAGAGTGAGTTACAAGAATGAGGAATACACGACAATGGTACAGCCTTCTGCGAGCTGCGGAATCAGGTCAGGAGTCAGTCGGTAACACCGAGCAGAGCGTAGTTTCTAAATTCAAGTATTACCAATGACCTGCAGTAGCCCTCAAGTCCCCTTCATACCGCCAAGGCCCCACAAGCGAGCGCCTCCAAGGAACAACCAATTAATTCATTCAGCGGCACAATTTAAACAGATCCAGATCATGTCTGCAAGAAACCCCTCCTGAGTCTTTGTCACAATCTGCTCTTCCAGCACTTTCTTTTCAGCTGTCTTCGCAGCAATAAGCGCCTGGTCTGCCAGGTAGGACGGCTCTTGAAACCATATGCGAGATCACTCGAGACAACACACTCCTTGTAGTCCCGTCGGGCACAGCGGCCTTGTAGGACTTGTCGTTTTCCTTCTCCTCGGTGATTTCCTTCTGCAAATCTTCCTGAGAGAGGCTAACAGCAAGCACTCGACGAGCATTGACCTATCTTCAGATCCTACAACTCCCCCGGGTCTGTGTGCGGCACGTTGAAGTCATCCAGCATAG